AAAAAAAAAAAAAAAAAAAAGAGTGCTAAAACAAGAGAAAAATGAGCAGGTCCGTTTAAATTTAGAAGGGTTAAGCATCCTTAAAAATAGCAACGCTCTGAATTCACGGACAGAATTTTCCCATTTTGAGGATTGTTTGGTAGGTACCGATACCTTTTAATTGTTAACCATTATTTTGTCGACCATTTATTAATAGCTGTAACTCAGGCAACAATGTTTGTAATTTTCGTTAGATTGTAATTATCTTTTCCCCTGTTCCCTGACCGTGTTGGATCGGAGGACTAGGTGTGTTTCTTTCTTGTTTTCCTTGTTTTGTCTCCTCAGTCTGTGCCTGATGAAAGTGGAAATACGCCACCGAAACGTCGCAATGTAAATTTTAAAATAAAAAAAAATAAATCAAACGGTTATAAAGCTCATGAAATTCACTAAATCATACATACCTACAATAACCATGAAATTAGACTCTTATATATATATCTAAATTTCTGAAAAATGTTTTTTGTCCAACTGGGTTGAATTCGAATGTTTCTATGATATTCCACTCACACAATTTTTAATAAACTTAATAGTGCTATGATTAAACAGCACAGCAAATTTCCAATTTTGGTTTGTCCTTCGAACCAAATCAATTTTTTTCGATTCCTTTGTGCTAAAGAAGTTCGAAAATGCCGATATTAACAAGAGGAAAATTGTCGGTTGCTCAGGGCGCCGCCATTTTGAATTTTTAAAAGTTGACAAAACCCACGATTAGATTTTTGTAAATATCTCTCTAAAAGTTTATCCCTTGAGAAAAACAAAAAACCAGCAGAAAGAGCATAACATTTTCTACCGAAATCACTTTTCCTTGCTTCTTCTAGCTTGATTTGTTTGTTGTAAAATTAACATCTTCAAAAATTAGCTAAAAAAGGCGCATTTTTTCTGATTTCAGGAGAAACTTTGCTTTATATCTCCAGCCAAGATTATCTGATATAAAATATGTTATGCTCCTTGAAAAGAGCGTAAAATTTACCTCTAGCTAACATATGTCACTAGTTCCTAAACTTGATTGAATCCTGTTTAACAACAGTTTATTAGCTCCGCTCTTAAATTTTGATTTTGTTGATCATCTCCTTTAAAATCAAGGAAAAAGAAGAAAAAAAAACCTAAAAACGTGGCCCAAACTGTATAAGAAGGTGGTAAAATAGTGCTAGGCCCATATTGGCCATATATTTGGCCCATATAGACCATATAGGTCCATATTTGGAGGGGGGGGACGAAGCCAAAAAATTCAAAAATTTTGAGCTCCAATCAGGATCAGTACAAAACTGATGTGAGGAGGGAGTGTTCAGCTCATGCGATTTGCATTGGAATATTAAGTTGAGGTCACATCGGGGGATCTGTAATTTTGGGTCTTTTTATATACCTCATCAGTAGATCACACTCGTCATTGAACCCAACTAAAAATCTTGCAAAGTCCAAGACGAGTAGATGCGTCACCACAAACCAGCACTCCTGGTGTATTTGGGATAAGAAACATTCCGAGACGCGAAAATATCTCCTGAAGTCAACTAATCACATACGGTTTGAAAGGAGTACCTGTGCTCTTGATCTATTTCAACCGTTTACTCAAAATCAGGAAACGGTTGCGTGTCTCTCGTGAGTTATGTGTGACACCTTAATTAGACCCCTTGTTATATTCCATGACGACTTGCTTGATAACCGACAAGTCACGTTTTCCTTAATCAGCATTTTCTGCCTGTTCACAAATCTGACTTTTCGTCAGATTTGCATGTCTCACTCTAGGTTCGTCCTCCACTCCGGATTGACGGCTGATTAGTCCCCGTCTTTTTCCGTACGTTAATAATTATACAGGGTGTCTCACGAAAAAAAAGCCACCTTGAATATCTGCCGAACACGTCGGAATTTCGGAGAACGGTAAAAGACGTGTTCGTTTATATCCAAGGGGACACCTTTTGGCGTACTTGACATTTTCCCAAACTGCGGGAGGGGCAGGGGGCGGGGGGGTGCCCCACCCGTAAGTCGAACTTTTTAAATGGCACCCCTACTTTTTTATTTCAGAAATCAATGCTACGCAAAAAAACAAGCCACCCTGTCCAAACCGAATGTAAAACGGACAATTTTTCAGTGATTGGCAGAGGTTGAAACATTTTTTTCATGCTCTTTTAAAAAATTTCCCACGCCCAATGGAATTGACGTACCAAACCAAACTCCCCGCCAAATAAATTTTTAAACATTGTACTTTCGATGGAAAAAAAAAAAAAAAAAAAAAAAAAAAAAAAAAAAAAAAAAAATAAATCTGCTGCACTCGAAATCTAGAGCACGCGGAGCCCTTCTTTGCGACATTAAAATTCGTTTTACCGAGCATTTCCGAGGGGCGCTCATTGGTAGGGAGTAGTAAGTTTTAGACAAGAATTATTTTTTTCTTGTCTGAAGCATAAGCAACCGTGTCCATGAAGAAGCAGTAAAGTAGAAAAACAACGCACCGTGGAAAAATAGCGTCCTCAGAAGTATTAAGGTCCGGCTCAAGTCATTGACCTCCCCCCCCCCAAAAAAAAAGCTAATTCACTTGTTTTTCTGCTTAGCTGCTTCTTCATGGACACGGTTTCTTATGCTTCAGGAAAAAAAATAATAATTCTTTTCTAAGACTTACTACTTCCTACCGATGAGCGCCCCTCGAAAATGCTCGGTAAAACGAATATAAATTGCAACAAAATCGCGATTTTATCGACGACGATTTTATAGATATAAAATTGCAATTTCTCATCAACGCACATTAACGCATGAATGACGCTAATGAACCTCGTAAAGCGCATTCCGCCCGTTTCCGTTGTCCATATCGGTAAATGGACAAATACCCCGAGTATATCTGTGCTGTTCGACACAAACATCCCTGGAACACAAAAAAATTAGAAGGCAACACGCCGACTGCAACAATATCATTAATGTTTGGTATTTGAAATCCATTTCGGAAGAGACGGGGCTTCTTGAGCAAGTCAATGGTGCATTTAAAAATGCACTGAACATAAGACAACTCTGCGAAGGACTTGTTTTGAGGAGGAAGGCTATGTTTTCTGGGAAATAAATAGAGTGCACCGCGAAGTCGCCCCCATTCATTCCTGAGGGTTTCAGACAATCAGATGGCGAGACGGGAAAAAGGAGAAAGCATGGCCGAAGTGCTCAAGGTCATTTGCTGAAGAGCCCCATGCCGACCAAATACAAGGCAGGGCTCAGACGGCAGCCGCTAAGGATTTTGAGGAAAGGCTAGATTTTTCATATTTCACGCGGGGTGTGGGAATATGCCTCCCGGCCAGAGAAAGATTTGATAAATGAGAGTCGGGTGTGAAAATCTTTTAATTTTTTTAGGTCGTTCTTTTGTCGACGCGGGCCTACGAGAGCGCGAAGCTCCCTTGGGGGGTTGGGCCGCGTAGCGGCCAGGGGGCATACTGCCGTGCAACGCAAAAACGCCGTAAACACCATTTTAAATATTTTGGAAACAATGTTTCATAGCAGAAAAACTTGTGTACCTTGGGACAATGTTTTTACAGAATTCTTTTGCAAATACTATCAAGAACTTAACCTAAAAATTGAGGTGCACGGGTTAAATAGTTTTAATTTTGTAAAGAGTTAAGTTCCAAAATACGCTGGAAAATATTGATGGATTTACGGCGTTTTTGCTTAGCACGGAAGCATAGCCCCCTAGTAGTCTTAGAAATTTAGTCTTTGAGAGAGATAAAATAATCGTGCGCCGCGAGGATACATGACACGATTCGAGGAAAATACAATTACAACTTTTTGCAGCTGCTAGCGACCACTAAATATTGCTATTTTGCATTTATAAATAAATGTTGATAAAATATAAAAATATTTTAAATTTACTTGATTTTTTTCTTCTTTAATTTTGTATATTTGACATCTAAGTGCTCTGCGTATTCGGCTTTTTCACCGATCAGTTCGGCATCTTCGACTCTCATAATTGCCTGCTTGTACTTATTTCGCGAAAGAGCTGCTTTTTCTTGTTTCTTTTCTCGATTGGTCGATTTTGCTTTCCCTTTTCCTCGATGCTCCTTCAGTAGAGATAACTTGTGCGAACACGACCTAAGCAATAGAAATATGAAGAACACCAAAAGACGATTAAAAAATGGGAGACTTGGTAATCGGCCGTAGCGGTGATAAACAGAACAAAAATCGTTAACGTATAAGTACCTACAACTGTCTCTCCGTTTTCCGCTTTCTCTTTCCACGCCCTATCTTAACTAAAAAAGCCAAGAGGGCGTGGAGAGAGAAGAGAACAATTAAAATTGATTTACACATGGATATTTCTGAACACGGGATGCCAATAAAAATATTAAAACACATAAAACCCTAAGTTCCATAACCCTTACGAATTGATTATGCCCTCATCTCCAAGACTCGGAAAATTCACGTTTTCGAAGCACTAATTCGTAAGTTGAAACAAATAACGCTTCTTGGTCCAGTAAATCTGATTTTTCACCTGAGACAAATCAGCACAAAGTTTTCCTATGGTATATGGAGTCTTGAGTTAGGTACCCAATAAGACAGAAAAAAAGTTTACCCAAAAAATCCATCCGCAATGTGCTCCAGTCGCAGTTTTTCAAAATGGGAGCTTATCTTGAATGATAGAGGATGTAGATTTTCTTTCAATGAATCTATCATAGGGAAAAGTCTTTTTGTTAAAATGGATACAAATCGTGATTTCTTTAAAAAAATCCATAATGGTTGTTGCGACTGCTGGAGCGGATTTTTAACTAGGAGGCCATTGCCTACCTTGGTGGACGTATCCTTGTAGTAGTTTTGTTACAGGAGCAGGTACCCGAGTGTTTTGGATAAGTGTATTTTCACAATTCCTCAGTACTGAGGTGTCTTTCAGATTAAATTCCATAGGGTAGGTGGGGGCAAGAGTACACACGGGATAAAAGTATGCACCGCACTTGTTTCGCGCGCTTTGTTTGAATTTTTGATGGCACCGGTTGTTGGTTGTTGGCAACATTGAGTTTCACCTGTTGACGAAGTTTTGTGCGAAGCGGATGTCAATAGACGGAATTATGAGGCAAATTCACTTTTCATGCGAAAAAGATCGATTTTTTAAGTAGGTACTTGTACTGTCTGTTGTGAGTAGAATAGTTGATGGAAAAAATCGGACGGGCACCATATCAAAGTGTTATAGTTCTGGCTTCGTTTTCACACCTTGGGCCGTGGGCCCAAAGTTTCAGTTCATGTTTTCCAATGTTTACAAATGATGGGGCAAGAGTACGCAGTCAGAATGGGGCAAAAGTATATACGCGTCCAAAAGTGGTGCGTAGTTAGGGGGGGGGGGTTGGCGTACATGAACTTCAACATAGAAGATGTAGGCAACTTACAATTAGTTTCTAAATAAATTTGTATGTGCCTTTGTTTAATTTGGGCGATTAAACTTTGTTCTTTTCCTGTTTAAAAACAAATTGACTTCGAGAATTATTTGGGAGCTTGTGAAGACTGAATTTTTTTTTTTTTTTTTTTTTTTTTTTTTTTTCACAATAAAAGTTGTTGGGCACTACTAGAACCCTTTGAGACCAGTTTCAGGTGTTTTCCGGGATGTAACAGCAATTTGGAGACCATGAGATGTTTTTAAACAAAAATTAACCTGCGTACTTTTGCTCCATTAAATGGGGCAAACGTACGCATTTTAAAATTTTATTTAAAAAATTCGTCACAGCCATGGATTTGATTTCTAAATTCGAACAACGCAGGGCACTTGTGCGCGAGGGCTTGCAGTAGGTGCCTGACCACTTTTCCCGCCTTAAAAGTCGATTCGGTCCCGAAAATACAGGAAAAACTAAAAAACGCGTACTCTTACCCCCACCTACCCTACTGAATTCCACTTTTAGCCGCGTGCTTACAGAGAGGTCAGAGGTTAGATTGACGTTGAGATCCGCAATGCATCGATTCACTTAAAACGAGAGCGGGCCTTTCTCCTTCGAAGCTCATCAATCAACACTTAGGTAATCAGCCACCACTTTGAAGCTTCACTTTGAACGCGTGTTTAAACGTGTGTCCAGCCTTAAAGGGCATTTGGAGGACACAAAAATTACTTTTTTCCAAAATTTATTTAGCAGGCTTCAAAGAACAATTGGATGCGAGTTTCAATTCCAGAAATGAGGACTTGAGTCGATTTTTATTATGCTTAAAAAGTGTGATTGAATCTACAGCAGTGGCGTGAATGAAGGCCGCAACGCGGAGGAGCCCATGGCTCTAAAGTAAAGACATTGACTCACGTAGACCGTGCATCCTGTGTTACGAAAGGCGAGGCAACTTTTAAAAATTCGCATGTGATGAGTGGTGGCACAAACCCGCAGCGATGAGTTCGTGTGTCCCAGTTGCGCACATCCGCGCATGCGCAGTAGCGGCTCCTGGCGGCTCCAGTGAATTTTTGTCGGATTGTGAGGCTTTTTCCTCGGTTAATAATTCGTTCGGAAAAATGAAACAATGCTAATCGGGTGTAAAATTATATGTTTTTATAACTTTTCTTCTTAGGAATTTTGTCTGAAAATGGACTCTAAACGAGATATTCGTGAAAAACCGAGCGCGGGCATGAATTCTCCATTGCCTCTTCGAATGCTTGGGACACACGCTCTCCCCCCTTCCCCGCCCGCAAATCATGGGGCTCCGAGAGACTTGCCTCGCTCCGCCAGTACTAAACCGAGCCGAACGCACGGTCTACGTGATTCAATGTCTTTGCTCTAAAGGGCCCAGTTGCCTCCTGAAAATGGAACCACGTCATCGTGCCTGGGGGGGAGGGGGGGGGGCGTTGAGGTTGGGCTAGAGATAAGGTTTGCGAGCGGGCCCGCGCTTGGTGAGTTATACCTCCAGAAGCAGCGATCGCGATAAATTGCGATTTAATCGGAAAATGTATCGCGATTTTCTGGACGTCGATTTATTGCAATATTATCGGATTAAAAATCGCGAGAAATTGCGATTTCATCGAACGAGATTTTGTAGAGATAAAATTGAAATTTCTCATCAACGCCGGTTTGGACGGTGGGAGGTACGCCCACACTGAGAAAAAATTTTCGGCGTTTTTACCAAGGTCCGTTGGTAACTTTACCATCTCACTTTTTTTTACCAATTATTGGTAACGTTACCAAGGGAGACTGGTACGCTTACCTAAGAACCGGTATTTTTACTGGTTTTTTTCAGGTAGGAATATGTACAATTTTTATTGGTAATCAATTTCCGGTAACTGTACCATTTTATCTCAGTAATTCTACGAAAGTCAATTAAAAACGTTGGCGTTTTTACCAAGGTCCATCGGTAACTTTGACATCTCACTATTATTGGTAATTTTACCGAGACAGAATCATGAGATTACCTGATAGAACCTTATTTTACCAACCGTAATTAAAGGTATGAAATAAAATACAGAAGAGGGAAAATTGAAAAAAAAAAATCCAATGAAAACTCGGTGTCAGTCAACGCAATGACAAAAGTTGTAAGTTTGTAAGGTTGCGAAGCGCCGATCCATGTATAAGAAGCTTCAATTCGCACTCGTAAGTCATACAGCGGCCATAGCCTAGTATTTTAGTCTCAAACAAATTTCTTATGTGACTTGCAGATTCTTCATGTTTTTCTCTTTTATGGTATGAGATCTTGCACGTGTCACAATATTCTTGATTCTCGTCGTTGTATTCATCGACAGGTGATAAGGTGTCCTTCATGGTGGACATCTTTTCAATGTGTTCGGGAGATTGCTCATGATTCTCTCCCTCCGCATAAAACTCATCAAAAAGATCACAATGGATGAGCGCGTTGTGCTCCTTTTCAATATGCGTTTCATCGTTGATACCCTCCTCCTTCTTAATTTGTTCCGCAGTCTTCGTGCTTTTCACCTTGTTTATAAAATTCATCACAGCATTCAAATTGGGTGAGAGTTTCAACAATCTGTTGTGCTTGTTCTTGGGCAGCCATGATAAAGATACTACTTTGAGCTCTAAGTTTTCCGAGCCGATAACAAAAGGAATTTACACTATCTTTACGTTGTAAGATTCTGATCACTGAAAATATTTCAGAGCGAACAAGTGAATACTATTATAAGCTCGAGGGTCTCTGATTTCGTCAGAACAGAAAATCAACACTATTTTCTCATTTGTAAGATTCTTTTCGTTGAAAAGATTTCAGAGTGAACATGTGAATACTATTTTAAGCTCGAGGGTTTCTAATATCATCAAAACTGAGACTGACGAGCTTTCTACTCGGAGGTAAATATATATAGTTTCCATACCGAGCGGAAAGAAACTGTAGACTCATAATTTACCTCAAAGTAAATACGGCATTTGTTAATCACCAAACTCAGTTTCACTCGGGCAAACTGTGTAGTCATAAGTCGTAACATAAATTACACTTTTATGTAGAGTTATAATTTACCTCAGAGTAAATATAGTAGTAGCTGCTAATCACCAGACTCGGTTACAGTCGGACAAACTGTGTAGTCATAATTTATAGTAGTAACATAAAACTACGCTTTCATGCAAGAGAGGGGAAAGTACTATCAATTCTAGTCAGGGAACGTATAAGTAGTGTCAAGGAAGTGTGATCGATCATTGCAAAACAAGAACTCGTCAAGTATGGACGCTCCAACCCTCAAATCGCAATCAATTCGAGCGATGAACACCTTGGACAAGGTTTATGAGTAGGGCTGTTCTATCGGTTGTCGGTAAGCTACCGAAACAGTTCCGTTAAGCAAAAGTCACGATAAGAGCGCTCTTGCCGATAGCGATCAGAGTTTTCGGAGCTGGCGAAAATAAGATGTTGCCATTTGTACATCTATTTTACGCGCCGCCGCGCCAGGCAATCTGATAAACCTACACACAGGGCAACAATGCATTAAGTGCGAGCTCTCAAAACTCCGATAAGGCCGGCTGTTGTCGATATCATCGCCACTGTCGGTACTGCCGCCAGTTTCAATAAGAGACGATGTCGATAGTGTTCCGGCAAGAATTCGTTTGAACACCCCTATTTATGAGGCCCTCTCTTTCAAGATTATAGGAATACGAGCAGAGCTTTTGAACAAGATTGCCCGACTCCTTTTTCCTGACAAGTTCTTTCACCATCTTAAACTCAGCTCAATAGGCATTTCCGATCCCGTCGGGTGTTATGGGTTACTTGAGATAACGGAAAGATTTTGCCATCTCCTAGAACGTGTCGCAGACGAGCACGAAATAATGTACCTACTTCCTAAAGCAGGGGTACAAGGAAATAGACGAACGGGACTAGAAGATATGCAGACTCGAGAGTGCGATTAGCAAATCATTGTACATCAGAGAGAGGAGAGCGGCTCTCGGAAAAAGACCTCATCCTTCCACTCTCCAGAAGTCTGGGATGCTCTATGACCGTCGAAAACTTACAAAACTTGCTCCTCAAGAATAAGGAATCCTGGTCTCTCGTGACATGTTCTATTATAGTCATTCTGACAAGCAAAAGTGAATTCTTGAACAACTTAGAGCGCGCCAAAATCATTCAGAACGCTGTCTCTGTGCCCGATGTATGTGCAATGGGTGATACTGGGATGTAGGTATCAGCATGGATTATTTTAACTTGTGTAGTTTTCTTTTCTTTTTATGATTTTTCTATTTATCGTACCAAATTGTAGAATAATAAAAATCGTTGAGTCATCAAACTGAACATTGCAATATCCAATCCCGGTTGCTCATCCCAAAACATAAGATTCCGATACGCATCTCCAAGCGCACACTATACTAAAAATGGATACGCATCTCCAAGCGCAAACTACTAAGAATGGATATTCCCGGATCAGACCCTACTCTGCAGTCACTGATACCAGTCCTATCCTGGAGGATATGGTCTATGCGACTTAGGTAAAAGTTGAATTTTCTCGAAAACAAAAACTCGTATCAAAATTCGGTCCGTACAGTTTTCCGATCTTCGATAGTGTAAAAGAATCGCATCGGTCCGTGGCGGATCGGAGGAGGGTAATTTTCCAAAAAAATTTTAATTTATCGAATCAGACCCTACTCTCCAGTCTCCGATATCAGACCCATACTGGAGGAGACGGTCTTTCGAAGCCGAAAATTTTTACAAGTCCGAAAATCCAAATTTTTGCACAATCTGACAACTTTGAATCGAAAAATTAACTAATTTCTTGCACCATCTGGCAACACTGTAAAACTAGATGTTGCAAAATTTCAATCATAATTAAATCATTTATTTAAGTGCTCCGTCCGGCAACGCTGTTGCATAACCTCCATCTGGAAGAATGCACCATTGCATAAACAGCAGATTGAAGGGGCTATATTATACCATTGCATAACCCGCATATGGAAGGGGCAACATACAATCCTCTCTCTTTTACAGCGTTGCCATATTGAATAATAATCACCATACAACAGTGTAATTTAATTTGTATTTTTCTGCACAATTTGGCTAAAAACTCTTGGCCTAAAGTCCCTGTTTTCAAACTACCAACTAAAAATTGACACGCATTTGAATGCAGAATTTTATCCTTTAAAAAATTGATACGTGTTGTTTTTTTTTCACTAGATGCACTGGAATCCAGGAAAATGGGCAAAATGCTGAAAAGGTCAAGGATCAATTTTTAGTTGCTTTCAGGCGGACGCCAATTTGTTTTCTGCAATTTTCAAATGTGTTCCGGAGGAAGGCTACTGGTAAACTTTTTTTAGAGACTTTAGACATGTCTTGGGGTGACTTAAAACAACAGAGAAGTTTGTGCTATTTTGTCCGAGGTTAGGCCCTTCAGATTTATTGGACTATATAGCGATGTCTTTAGTTACAGATACGTGCTAAAATATGACTTACCTATTTCGCTGCTACAAATATCTGATTACCCCTCTGTTCCGCTAACCCCTCAGTTGCGCTAAATGCGATTCTATTCCCGATAAATTCTATCATTTAAAACGTTTAATTTGGAAATAGCTCCCTTTCATTTTCAAAATGCACTTCTCCATATATTGATATATAATGTAATAAAGCTTTAATTGATTGTGAGTAAATAGGGAGTACATCAACAGATTTTTCATCCAGAGAATTCAGGAAGTTCCGTTAAAATTGGAGCCCAAATTATCCTAGAGTTCTGCCATTTGCTGAAGTCTTGAACATGTGTGTGTAGAAACAACTTTTAGACCAATGAATTTCTTCCATTCTCAGTTTGATTTAGGAATGTTTTTCAATTTCGCTAACTCACCCACCTTAAGATTGCTGTGTCCGTACAAAGTATTGGTGAGCTCCACGCCAGAAGTCCAGCCTCTAAATCAGATCTACTCCAGAGCCTCTGTTGGAGAGAAACAGATCTATGAAAGCCCACGCGGATTTCAGGACTGAAATCAGATCTAAAGCAGGGACAGTTCGTAAATTTTAAGATTAGCCTAGAGCAATTGATATAACAGAGAAGAATAGTTTTAGCATGTATTATCTTCAACAAAATCTACATTTTATGAACTTGGTCCCCTGACACTTTCAAGTCAGCGAAACAGCAATAAAAAAACCCTCACCATGGCAAGTCCAGGCAATCTATAATTTTACCTGGACAATTTTCCGAAAAATTTTCTGGCATGCGTTTCATGTGTGTTTTTTAGCACTGAATTCAAATCTAAACTTTAGTACCTTGGATTTTTCCGCTACAGATGTCATCTTAAAAAACGTTGTAAAATCTCATTTTATATAAAAAAAACGTTAATAACTCGTCCCCTGAGCGTCAGACGGCAAAACGATTGATTTGTAAAATGGAAGGAAGTTAAATTTTGATTAAAAAACTTGTATCAAAGTTTTGATTAAATGTGCATATCGAATGCACATTGTTTGTATGTGTATTAGCGAATGCTAGAGCGCGCTAAAAATGGCGGGAACTTTGAAAAAATCGCAATTTCTTGCGGTTTTCTTAAAAATCTTTTTTCGAAGTAGACGAAAAATGCAACCAGAATCACTGTTAAGTTCTGGCGCAGTGATCGTTTCAACAGAGGGTAGGAACGCCGGAGACTCGCACGGCCGAAATCGGTGGCAACGCTGCATCACAGTTCTACCTTATGAGGACCGTTACATGGCCTCCATAACGTTTATTCTTCCTTTAAGCCATTTCATATCATTTATAATTAACATAAACTTTGAAGGATTTCACCTTTTCACCTACTATAACCTTCCGGAATGGTAATTTTCGACCCAAAAATCGTCGATTTTGATCGTACACACCATAAAATTAGGTTAGAACAATGGACACCACCACATGTCGGTTTCGTCACGTTACATTTCCATGTCTCGAAGATAGATAATTGGGTCAAAATCGATAGCTCGAGGTCGAAATCGATAGATGGAAGATCGAAATCGATAGATTAAAGATCGGTTAATCGATTGTGCTCATTTCGATTTTTCAGCCCTACTGTTAATATGAGTAGAGGAAAAGTAGCGGTTTATGCACACCCATCAGTGCGGCCAATGTTCCCTTTCAATGCCTCATCTATTTCCGTCCAACATTATGCTGGGATCAATCCTATGAGCTGACCCGTCTCCTCACCCTCCCCTTCCCCCACCTCTGGTTCCATCAGATACTGGACAAATAGGAGAGGGGTTTTATGTTGTTTTCTTCTAAATAATGTTTATCGATGTGTCGTTTCAGTATTAATGTGATTATTCGCGGGAAGAGACCGGCGACGATACTGGAGTATTTCAAGTATGAGATTCGATGAGTCGTTTCAAAATTTCACCTGTATTTTCCAGCCAAGCCTTGATTTCGCCGTCCGGAGGACCTTCCATGCCGGGCTTCCGATGTGTTTAACCTGAAAGACGGTTGCATAGCGGCTGTTTTTGGGATTCCGGCTACTCCTCGCACAGCGGCGCTTTACGGGTCGTTCCTGTATATTAATGTGTCTTATGGGAGATCCGTACTTACCTACGTTGGAATTTCTTACATCTTTAGCTGATTGTACCCCTTACCTCCTCGAGCAAGTCCATATTCAAACCGTTCCTCTTTTTACCACTGAAATCAGCCGAATGAAACTCACAACGCTTTCCGCGTCGCCGTCCCAAACTGGAGCGACTATCGCGTCATTCAAACTTGAGCTCGCTGAACTTCCACCTACAACGGGCCTCTCTCTGACGCCAGAATTTTTGGACGATGAACCATCTGGCGCCAGCGCGCGGGAGTGACCGGAGGCTCCTATCAGGGGCCCTGAGGTGTGTGCGCGACCCATCCCAACACCTGGACCATGATTCATCGGGGGCCTCCTCGAGGCGGGTACGCGGCCCGCTACCACGGTACCCGTGTTTGCGGTGTTGCCTGACTGTGACGAAATGCCCCCCATCACCTTCACCTCCTCCCCATCACTCCCTTCCTCTTTCCCCCCACCCCTTCCCCTTACCACCTCCTCCCCTCCCCCTCTCCCCCTTCCCAATCCGACTGCATCCAAAAAACGACATCACAACAAATAAAAGTGTGACGCATCGATACCCATCGGTTGGGATCGGTCATATCAATGGGCTCCGGCGTATTTGACCGGAAACGGGGCTTTCACCCTTCCCTGTCCCCATGGTCCTGCTCTTCGGTCCCCCACGATTCTCTTACCGCATGGGTCTCTCATCGTCGTCCAGCAGGAACTCTTACTCCTTGGGGAGGTGTATCCAACCATAAATGTGGCTCTCCTGCATCCCGTACCCCCTCCCCCCCTGCTCTTGCTCACTCTGGTCTCTACGGTCCTGGTCCTGCTCTCCTTGGTCCGCATTTTCCTGCTGCTGCGAGGGCTTTTCATTCTATTTCTTTTTGTCAAGAGAAATTATTTGTTCGATAGATATAACAAGAGATTTTACAAAGATGAATGATAAGCTGAAGTACTTAGTGTTAATAGGTAAAAGTATCGTAAGTAATATACAAGGTGTCTCACGAAAAAGGAGCTACCTTGAATATCTGCCGAACGAATCGGAATCTCGAAAAACGGTAAAAGACGTGTTCGTCTATATCGAGAGGGACATCTTTTGGCGTATTTGGCATTTTCCCAAACCGCGGGAGGGGCGCGGGGCGGGGGGGTGCCCCACCCGTAAGTCGAACTTTTCAAACGGCACTCCTACTTCTTTATTTCAGAAATCAATTCTACGCAAAAAAACAAGCCACCCTGTCCAAACCGAATGTAAATCGGACAATTTTTTAGTGATTGACAGAGGTAGAAACATTTTTTTCATGCTCTTTTCAAAAGTTTCCCACGCCCAATGGAATTGCTGTATCACACCAAACTCTCCGCCAAAAAATTCTTAAACATTGCACTTTCAATAAAAAAATAAGGAAAATCTGCTGCACTCGAAATCTGGAGCACGCGGAGCTCTTCTAGGCGACATTAAAATTCGTTTTACCAAACATTTCCGAGGGGCACTCATAAGGGAGGGAGTAGTAAGTTTTAGTAAGGAATTGTTATTCTTTTTTCTGAAGCATAAGAAACCGTGTCCATGAAGAAGCAGTTAAGTAGAAAAATAACGCACCGCGGAAAAATAGTGTCCTCAGAAGTATCAAGGTCCGGCTTGGGGGACCCTCCCCCCCCCAAAAAAAAAGGTAATCCCTTTATTTTTCTACTTTCTTATGTCTCTGTTACGAGATTAACTAAATTAATTGTAACCAATTCCGCGTCTCTCTTTTTTTTCTTTTTTTTTACAGCTGTTTTAATCATATTTCAATGTTGACGGGACGTTATTCGAGAATCTTTATACAGATACTAGCCGTTCTGGGCTCGCTTCGCGCGCCCGTCACGCCTTACCGGGGGCTACGCCCCCTGGACCCCCGGTCAGTCGCTAAAGCCGATTTTGTAGTAGTAGCAAATTTTTTATCACTATATTTTGAAGATTTCATAGAAAACATTATGAAATTCTCACTCCACAATTAACTTGTAGAATAATAATGGCAGGGCAAGAAATAGACTATATCTTAAAATGGACGGTTCCCACTTAGTAAAAACAGCCAACACCACGTTAAGGTGAGGAACCATCGTTAACCACTTTTTTTTTCTCTCTCTTTTAAGCGCTCAGCCGATAGGCGGCGCTTTTTGATTTCGACCTGCCACTAGAGCTCTAGTATACTAGTGCGCTCAAGCATAGAATAATAAGGCTACGCCTATAGAAGAGTCACTCTCGCAGATTTCATGACGAAGAAGAAGAACAGGGACCTGGAGCTCTTGAGCTGGAGCTGGCGGGTATTGTTTACATTCAGAATGAAAATGGTGGCAATAGCCAACTGTAACACTCTAACTGTAGCTGATCACATCTGATTTTATCAGTCATCTGGCCAGCATGAGCACGACGAGGCTGTGGAAATCGTTTCCGTTACATTAATTTTGATACTCAAACTCTTTTACTCTGTGACGATGACTTTTACACTTACAAAACATTAGACTCTTCGTTGGCACCACTGACTACATTTCGCAACCCTGCAATTTGCTGGGCCCTACTATTACATTTGACAACCTTGCAAAGAGCTGGCGGGTTCAGAAAAGTATAGGGCAACGGGACCTAACCAAACCTGGACACAGCAGGCGAGAGTCACAACGGCCACTTACGCGAGTGACTCTTCTATAGGCGTTAGCTTTATTATTCTATGGCTCAAGCGATCAAATGGCGCACCAACTCATCGATGCACGAAACGCCATTTTTACTTCTTTTTTTTTTGATTACCTCATTATGCCTCTGTGAATACGATTAAATGCAAATTAGCGTAAGAAATAAATAACAGTCCTAAAACTCTCTTTGCTATGCGGTTTATAGGTATCCTATAATTACTTCTGAAAGTTCAAGATTCGCGTTCTGTTTTCCGAAAACTTTTCCACCGGTGATAACCTTATTCGGAGACCTTAGTAGAATTCGCCTACATCTAGGTTATGTGTCATTGACCTAGGTAGCTGGAGAGTATTGCCATCCTTTTGCCCTTCTTTGATTGGTTCATGAGTTTTGGCGTCTTTGGCCCTCTTCTGGCTTAATAAGATCATTATTCATTTTCTGTAGGTACATAGCCGCGATTCAGATTCAGATGACACTACTCTCCCGTATTTGCTTCTCGCGTCTCGCTTACTCCTTTGTGTTTTCATATGTATTTCGTCCATCTCCCTCCATCCATAATTAATTCCATAATCCATCCGCCTCGTTTAAGATTG